GCATCATTGATTTTAACCCAGATTTGAAAATTCAAAGCTGAGGATGGGGCGCATACACAGAGAGGGAGGTTTGCCTGGACTTTTGGTCCCCACACCCTTCACTCTTTTTCCCAGAGTGGGATGAACGTCGGCAATAAAAGATCCATGGTGTGTGTACGCAGCCTGGGACACTTCCTTACCCATCCTAACACGAGCTTAAACACCATCGGGCGCAACAAAGATCAGAGAGGGAAGCAGGCTTCCTTCTGAACAAGGTCAGCCTTGGATACACCACCACATCTTGTCTCCCACTCTAGCCTAACCTCTTCAGGTCGCCTGACTTTAGAATAGGGGACAGTTCCCTTCCACCTACGGGGCATGTTCTCCCGGCCCAACCAGGGCCGAGGAAGCAGTTCAGCCTGGGAGAGGCTCCGAGGACAGCTGAGGGGAGCCCCGCCCTGGGAGCTGCCTAATCCGTCCGACATGGGGACCCACTGTTCCAGACACCGGATGACAATTAATAGGAAAAATCTGCTCTCACAGTGCTGCCAAGCGTGTCACAGGGTCTCAGCTGGTGGCGCGCCTCCTCGGGGGCAGAGCAACGATGCCCCATTCTTCCCTTCGCTCAAGGCCCTGATGTTTTTTCAGGTGGAAGGGGAAAGAGCTCAAAAGGTTCCTCCCTGATAGGAAAACTGCTTAAGCAATGGTGTCAGTTCTCAAAGCCGGGAGCCCAAGGCTGATGCTACGACTGAATGCTCAGAGCATGCTCAGTGGTTGCTCTCTTCCAAACCTAGGAAGCAGCCCTGTTTGGCACAGGGGAGTATTGGCAGATAAAAACATCTCCAATCAAAGTGCCTAAGAGTGGTCTGATCATGTTTAAGGCATCTGGCCTCGGGCCAAATTTCTATCCCCTCTTTATAATTTGTCTGCACATATATATCTCTTGGTCAAAATATTTCATATGATGCAAAAAAAACCTGGCTTGCTTTGCTGTGACTTGTTTAGTTTAATCAAGAGCAGAGAGAGATCAGAGGCAGAAGGCCTCGGGAAGCCAGGCAGTGTGCGCTGTGTCTTCTGCCCTTCTGTTCTTCTACAGAGAGCTCTTGCTGTATTTCAGTGTTCTGAACTTTTCAGGTACTCACAGATTCTTCTCAGAGTGTAAGAGAAGTGACGGACTAGTTCCATTTCGTTCCACTGCCCCTCCCCCACCCCACGCCACGTGCATGCAAAACATCTGCATCTCAGTTCAGGGGACCGCTGTCCCAGAATCTCACCCATTCACTCTCCTGTGGGACCCAGGCCAGGAGCCTCACTGCAAATGCCAGCTCATGTGTCGAAGCCATGGAAGTTCATCTTCCTGGATCCCATGAGCTCGCCAGGAAACCCCAACCTGAATCCTAACTCGGCAACCTGACGGCTTGTTGAGTCTTTCACCATCCTTCCCTACCTGTCTCCTACCTAACACCAGCCACAGATGGACCCCTCAGCTGGGTGCATCTTGAAATTCAAGTTTCTGTTTTGGTATCCAGCCTCCCTTGAGCCGTCTGGTGAGATGCATTCCTGGGACCAGCAGATGGATGCTAATTTGCCATGTCCACCCCTCTCAGGCCACTCCCCTTCCCTGAGCCTCGGTGGGGAGCCTCGTCCCACGCCCACCCTGGCCATAATGGGGTTGAGTACTCTGTGCTGAGGAAGTTGGCCAACAGTTGAGCAATCATGTTGCTGCTGGCATCTGTTCTGTGACTCTGTGCAGCGCTGCATGCTAAGATACCACTGCACGGGTAATTTTTCAATGCCAGAGCCTACCACCCTACCACCAGCTCTGTGAATACCTTCTCACCACAACTCCACGGGTAGGTGCACGTAAGAGAAAAACCAAGCTCCTCCAACCAGGAGTCTCTCCATCCACCAATAATGAAAAAACCCTACATCATCTTCATTTGCCATCAAGTCCAACATTCTTCCCAAAATATCCTCCTTGCAGCAGCCCAGCTAAGCAATGTTTTCAGTACTCACAGTAAAAGCCCATAGTTTTGTCCCATAGACACCAAGAATGCCTTAAAGCCATCATTAACAAAAATAAAGGTGAGGCCAGGCCAGGAGACGTACCAGGAACACGGAAGCCCTGGCCTTCTCGGGGAGCAAAGGGAGATTGAAAAGCACCTTTGATCAAAATCTCCCATGAGACCCTCGTACGTGAAAATTCCACCTTACCCTTCATTCCAAATTTGGACCGCCGACCGTACTTGTTGATCATGATGAAGAGAACCACCAACAGGACGCAGGCAAAGGCAGCGAGTCCCACGGCAATGGAGACCTATTAGGGGCCAAAAACAGACAGTGAGGTTGGCCCCGGAAATCCAAGTGCCCTACAAGGTGTCCTGCTCGCCCACATGGAAACAGTCCTACTGCAGGAGTGACTGCAGCCTCTCAGAACTTTGCCACCGAGTCAAGTCCTTAGAAGAAGTGATTTACGAGACCCTAAGAGCATTAAAAACACACAGATGACCCAACTTGATCAGAGACCTTCCATGGCTCACGCTGTGAGCCCCTCTCGTCTGGGGGCCGTCATAAGCAATACAAGAGCAGGCCTGCAGAGGTGCCTGTCTGTGGTTTGTTGTTTTAATTCACAAGCAAATTCGGCATCTTCATACTGATACTCTACATATTACTCCTGTCCAAGCGGTTGAGAAGATGTTGACTCTAAAAAGACTACTGACCCGTCCTTCCCAGGGGGAAGCTCTCAGAGTTGGGCAGGGGAGGGGGGCTTGAAAAACCCACCCAACGAGATTCTCTGAGCAACTTTGACTCTGTAAAAGGTCTGTGCAAAATCGCAGTCCCTTGAAATCAGGCCCAGCCAGGCTCCTAATGGAGCAGGGATTTTCGAACCGTTCTCTTCTGAACCCTAGAGCTTGGAGCACATCCTCAAAGACTTCCTCAAACAATGAATTATTCTCATCAAACAAGGCAGGTTTCAACAGCCTAAAAGGAGGTCATTCAGCACATTTTTTTTTCTACCACACATACTGCAGTTTCAAGTAAGGTCCTATTTGGGAAACTTAGCTCCTAAATTGACGTCTGAAAATGACCGTATCAGTAAACACCTTCCTCTCGACCAAGAGGTGACTCACCCCAAAAGTGTCTTCCTCGGGTTTGTGGGTCACAGTGACAGGGGTGGGGCTCACTTCGTAGACTGAAAACCAAACAGAAAAGGAGGAGGTCGGTTAGCTTCCTGGTCACGAGAGGCTCGGCCACAGTCCCTGCCAGGCTCCCAAGCCCCCTCGAGAGCTCCCGCTGGGGAACATTCCCCTAAAACCAGGTCGTCCTGACCTCCCAGGCTTCTCGGGGACCCCAGAGACCAGGTCCACGTCAGGCTGCCCGGCTGGTGCTGACAGGTCAAGGGCAGGCTCCATAAGGAACAGAGGACCTCCGCTCCCACCCCCAGCTCATCCCAGAGGAGAGACGGTCACCTAGGCAAAGTGGGCCACGAGCTACTGAACAGAAAGAGCTGAAAGATGGTTTGGGATGGCGGCCAGGGTCTGGGTTGGGCACACCATGTTGGAGGTGGCAGCTGTCACTGACATGCAGCTCCGCTCCACATCCCCTGCTGTCCCTGGCTCTCCACGCCCTCCCTCTTTCCCTCTTTGCTCCTCAGGGAGCTCTGGGAGGCCACTGGCCCCAGAAATCCCCGAGGTGGACTCGGGGACACAGCGGCAGCTCAGGTGAAGCCCCAAGTCCATCCGACCAGGAAACACCACCTTCTCCCAGCAAGGCCCGGAGGGCAAGCCAGGTGCAGTTTGTCCTCCACCTAGGGTCAGCTCCTTGGTGAGAGGTGGTCCCAATTCAGAATTCTCTGGAAGGACACCCTGTGAGATGGGGAGCTCTCTAAGATGGAGAGCAAATAAAGGGTCACAGGTAACATTTACACCTGTGCCAAACAGCCAGGGGTGTCCTGAGTACGGCTGTCTGGTACCTCAGGCCGCACACGGGGCAGACAGGGCAGCATCTGTTGCCCTTAGTCCATCACGGGGCAGGAAAAAAAAAGGGACGAATATAGATTTTCCCACAACCCATGAGCAAAACACCACATCCTTCCTTCCTTCTGGGATGGCCTAGCCCTGCCCCACACTGCTTAAAAACTGAGCTTCAGTGACCCCACTGAAGACACGTGAGCCTGTCAGGAGACCTTGAGAACCACAGCTCCGCACGAGGTGGGTCCCAGCCAAACAGTGGGGCCCTTGAAGCAGACAAGACACACTGACAGGCTGAGGCTCCACATTCTCTCTGTAAGAACAACAGAGATAATCGGCGGGGTATGTGGAACCCCACAGCCTTCCTGACACACCCCCTCCATCAGATGAGGACACCCACATGCAGACCCTAGAAAGCGCCCCGGGGGAACACACAGAGGCTGCCCAAGGCGCGTGGGCTGGGCACTGCCCCACAGGTTTTTCTATTCTCTGGTTCCCTTTCACATTCCACTCGGATGCTCTGTGCTGCTTGGGTCTGGGGAACAGGGTAGAAGAGGAAAGGGAGTTTTGGATTCAACAGTCACCAAAGTATCAGATAAATCCCTTTCAAAGCAAGAGGCGAAGTGGACTTACTAGAGACAAAGTTATCCGTGCTCTCTGCAAAAAAGAAAGAGATAATTAACAAATGCAACACAAACCAGAAGGGGCCCCTGTGTCTCCCGAATAGCTACAATCGCTCCCACCCCAGCCACTGGAAACTAAAATCCCTGGCCTATCACCCCTCCCCATGCTACACTCCTTAGGAGGTCGTCTTCCAAATGGAGGAGTAAGAGATACACAGTCCCTGATTTCAAGGGAGGTGGCCGGCCCACCTAAGGACTAGACACCAAAGTGTGAAATAGGAAGTTAGATGTAGACACTGTCTGACCCACAGTCCTCCCTCGGATCTCAGAGTGCTGGGGACGCTGGTGGTGCAGTAGGGCCAACATCAAGTGCTGCAGGGTGGGCTACCCTGACTTTTCTTGAAAATGCCAGCTATGATCTCAAATGACAAAATTCCTCAAATCAATACATAGAATTTATTCTAGGAGGTCACTGAGACATTCTCAGGAATCCCTTTAGAATCTGCTCATCGCCCAGATGAAAATGTACTGTTCGATCTCCGGCTCAAATAGAAATGGCTCACCTACTAATGGAAGCTCAGTATTGCCAGTCCCTGACTTTGAGCCAGAGGCTATGCTGAGTGCTTGGTGTTAATATATCACTGAATCCTTACAACCATCCCGGGAGGTGGGCAGCATTATCCCCAAGGAAGCAGGCTTGTAGTGATGAAGTACCTAACTGAACTTCACTCATCTAAGAAGGGATACGGCTGGATTCAAATCTAAGTCTGGGCTCTTAACCACTCTATCAGAGATACTCAGACTTCAGCATGGGACAGACTCCTCTAGAGGGTCGTGACTACCGCCCTCCAAGAAAAGGAATGGTGGGAGAAATGCACAATTTCAGGGTTGGGGCAGAGAGAGTACACTACGTGCCCAGAACATCCTGTGGTACTAGAAAGACAGTGCTCAAAACATAAAGGGGGGCAGGGAGAAAGGACCAGGAGCCAATGTCAGAGGGTTCCAGTGGCTGAATTTGGAACATTTTGAGCAAGAAAATTTTTTAAATGACAGTCATGGATTGTTATGGGCTTAATTACATCTGCCCAAACCTCATGTGATGAAGTCCTATCCCCCAGCCTCAGAATATGACTGAATTGGGTCTTTAAAGAGGTAATTAAGTTGAAATGAAGCCATTAGGGTGGGCACTAATCTGACTGGTGTCCTTCTAGACCCCAGACCCACACAGAGGGAAGACGCCCACCTGCACACCCAGGACGGAGGCCTCAGAGGCAGCCAGCTCTGCTGACACGTTGATCTCAGACTTTTCTAACCCCAAGAACCATGAGAAAATAAATTTTTGTTGTTGAAGCCACTCAGTCACTGCCATTTTCTCATGGCAGCCCTAAGCAACTAAGACACAGATTATAAACCATAAGACAAAATAAATACCCATGAGGCCATACTGATGTCAATAAACGAGAAGAAAAGAAAGCTCTTGCTTACAACAGAATTCCAATTAATAAATGGAGAAGGAGTGATGGAAATAGAAAAATCACCACGGATAAAGACCGCCATAATAATTGTGTCAGCCAAGGATCACCGACGAATGCTAAACGTAATGTGTGAGAGGGTGCTAAGAAACCAGATACTTACAAAGTTTCAAAATGTTATGTTTATTAGTTACAAAGGGAAGAAGAATCATTCTTGCAGCAGAGAAACCTGGCAGACGCCCTCCTGACCAAGTGATACAGTCACCACCCCCAGGAATAAGATGTGTGCATCCCACTGATGGGATGCACTGAAAGCAGGGCAGCATCTCTCCTGCGGGGTTCTTGCCAGCAATGCATAACTGGCGTTTAATCATAAGAAACTTCGGGCCAGATCGAAACTGTGGGACAATCATCTACAAAATAATTAGTTGGCTATCTCTTCAGAAGTGCACAGATCATGAAAGACAAAGAAAGACTGAGGAACCACGTCCCAGATTTAAAGAGAGTAAGGGACAGGGTGACTAAGGGCCATGTGTACTCCTGGACTGGACCCTAGAGAAAAAAGAACAGCAGTGGGACAGTTAATAAGATTCAAATAAAGTCTGTAGCTTCCAGGAAAGCGTCCTATCCGTGTTCACATCCTGATTCATCGTACACGGTGGTTTCGTAAGATGGTAACATTTGGGGAAGCTGGCTGAAGGATGTAAGGAAGTTCTCTGGACCATTTTGAAACATTTTTGGGTAATTCTCAAACTATTTCAAATGAGAAGTTAAAATTTTTTTTTTTTAATTTTTAAGAAGAGACATAAAGTATAGGTTATTGCCCCAGAGTTTCTGACTCAGGAGATCTGGGGCGGGTCTTGAGAATTTGCATTTCCAACAAGTTCTCGGGTGTGGCTGAGGCTGCTGATTCCTTTGAGAACCACTGTGTTAAAGCCCATCTCCTGCTGCCACCGGCCCACCACACCCGGAGACGTAACAACTCAACCATCCACCCACCCGCCCGTCCCCTCGCTGCGGGCCTTGCCTGAGCCCGGGCATCGTGATCACTGCTCTATTACGTATGCACCACCAATGGTCTCCTCCAACTACCTGGGGGAAGACGATGCTGTCTGTGAAGAGGAGCCATTTAGAGAAAGTCCTGTTTACAGTAAATGCACTGTCAGTAGATTGCTTATTTGTGTCTGTTTGGGGCAGAACAACAGAGCTTCTCCAAGTTCCCGAGCGCGTGCTTCATGCCGCCACCCTCGTCCAGACTGTGGGTGACCAAACGCCCAAGCTATGGGGAGGATGGAGAAGAGGGGGCCCTGGCCCTGACTTCAAAGTCCAAGAAAAGAGAGGTGCCAGATCGATTCGCAGTTAACACTCATTTGCATATTTCTCATAAGGCTCCCGTTTATTAGAGAATATTCTCACGTCAGCCGAATGTTTTGGCCGAGTCTGTGAACCGTGTCATCTTCCAATCAGCCTATGCTTAGCTCCTTTGCCAGAGCCTGGAAATATTTACACATGAGCCTTGGAACAGGGGACCTGCTGGGTCCCCTCTAATCTGTGGGGGTCTCACACTCCCACCCTGAAAGAGGATGGCACCCAGGAGTGTCCTGCCCTCTGCCCCACCAGCAGCTGGGAGGATGAATGGGTCCGTTTTCCAGGGCACCACCTGAAGATGAACAGGGGCTGGACACAAACATGATGCACAGTCTCCTCCGGCCCCAGGCCACACCTCTTCCAGTCCCAGAACTTCTTAGAAGGGCCTTGTAGAAAGGCAGCACGACCCAGAGAAGAGAGAAGAGAGAAAGCAGCTTGTGCGCAGAGAGATGGACTGAGAAGCGACGACAAGAGACGCCTTGGCTTCGGACGTGAGCAGGGCTGAGGGAGACCTCCGTGTGCCCTGCTGAGCCCACACGGAAGCCCCGTGTCATGACTGCCGCCTTCAGCTGCTGGTTGGTCAGACATGGAGAGGAACAGAACCACCTCCTCCCCTGCACCACCAGCAGGCTGAAACCACATTCCCGTCTCAACAAGCCTCTGAGGGTGGGGACAGGGGCCTTGCTGAGGCTGACGGCCCTGGGGCAGTGCCGACCAAGTACAAAATGAGCATTCAAGAATCACAGCAGCCCACTTACTCCTAAATGTTTGTTAAGTACTCTCAGGCATTTGCTGCACAACTACATGCAAACATACACTCACAGGCCCTTAGGCAACATTCCCCCACCTGTCACATCATCATCTAAGGCCCCCCCAGCTTCTCATTCCCTCCGGGCCTGGGCCTGCCAACCGCTGCCTCCCATCCCCACATGACCTTCAGCCTCCCCGGCCCCTCCTCTCCTGACACCAGGAGCGCTGATTCCTCACAGCTGCCACTTTTATGCCCCGATCCCTCCGACACCCCTCTAAGGTCTGGGGACACCAAAAAAGATTCCACTTCATGCTTGCAGAATGAATGTCCCTAGCCAGTCCTTCCCGGGACCTCCCACACCAAGGCGGACTGCCCCTGCTGCGCTTTCCAGCACTTCTCTGGGAACGTGCACACGGAGACACCGACGTGTGTGGAGCACGTGCAGTTTACAAAAGCTTTTCTAGAACACTTTCATTTGACCGTTCTACTCTGAGAAAATCCTCACTGATGCAAGTTTCTACATTTGCTGATTGCTCCACTGGATGTGTTCAGCCCTTCAAACCTCTGCTGTGGGAAGAGCAGGATCGACAGACAGCATAGGTACCGGGGCTCAGCAGGCGAAGGTTTACTGCCTGTTCCCCTGGATAATTTACTCCTGAATATTTAGACATTTTGCCACCAGACACGACTGGCCCACCTTTTCCCTGTGGCTACCTTTTCATCATTCATTGATTCCTTTAGGCTCATGGAACAAGCCGACATTCACACAGGGAGGCCCTGGCAGGGTGTAGGTGGGTCCAAGGAAATGACATCAGGTGGGATTCAAGCTTCTCTCGACTCCACCCTGCCTCCCACCTCCTGGGGCCAGAGTCCATCAGATGCCATGTATCACAACAGTGCTTGGCACAGAGTAAGCACAGAAGTAGTTTGTTTTTATTTTCTTCTGAAAGAATACCAAGGGGCAACAGAAAGGGACGTGTCATGGGGGGAAACAGAGCTCTGAAGGTGAGGCTCTCCTTTCCCACCACCACAGGCCTGAGAGGTTGCAGGGATAAACACATTCAGTGGAGCAATCTGCAAATGTAGAAATTCCATCGGTGAGGATTTTCTCAGAGTAGAACAGTCAAATGAAAGTGTTCTAGAAAAGCTTTTGTAAACTGCACGTGCTCCACATGTTGGTGTCTCCGTGCACATTTCCAGAGAAGTGCTGGAACGCGGAGCAGGGGCAGTCCGCCTTGGTGTGGGAGGTCCCGGGAAGGACTGGCTAGGGACATTCGTCCTGGAAGCATGGAGTGGAATCTTTGGTGTCCCTGGACCTTAGAGAGGCGTCAGAGGGATTGGGGCGTGAAAGTGGGCGGCCGTGAGGATCCCGCCCTTTAGCCAACGAGGCCTAGCCTGAGTTTGTGGCCCATGAGGGCAAAGTAATTGCATCCCAAAGCTGCTGCTTCCTCCATGCACACCAGGACTCTTCCAGCGCCCACAAAACTTGGCATGGCCCACAGTGGGAAGCATCCCAGGGCCTTTTACTGTGCATCCTGGGGATGAGTTGGGAGATAAGGATTAAATGGGACTATCAGGATCTCAAACATCAGGATCCTCTGCTGAGTGATGGCGCCATCATCCCCTGGACCCCGGCAGCAAACTTAGCATCCCACGCAGCCTCCCTTCCCCAGGGTCTCACGCTGGGCACCTCCAGTCTGCGTGTCCTCACACTAAGACACAAAGGCCTCCTGGAACTGCTACCCGCTGGTCCTCCATGGGCTGTGAAGTCACCTTCACATGAGCAGAGGCTGCAGCGTGCGCTGGCTCTCGGTGCCCCCCATTCCGTGTGTGACTGTGTGTCAGCCTTTACACTCCCCTTTATGTCATTAGAACCTTCGATCCCTGGGGATTGAAGGCCAAAAGTTTCTCCAGCCCATATCCGGCAGAAATCTCCAAGGTCATCAAAGATACATGGCTTCCTGGACAGAGCTGCATCAACCACCGAACCAACCAAGAGATGCTACAACCACTTCCGCTCAACTCTTTGGGTTTTTTTTCCTCCAATTTTAGGAAAGGATTCAAAATATTCTAGCTCAAAGAGACAGAGTCATCTCCCAAATATTCAAATGAAGTTCTTTCATGGCTTGAATCACCCTTCCCCACCCCGGTCCACTTGACATTAGCACCATCACAGGCTGACAGCATCAGATAGAGCCCCATCTGGTCTTGTTCCACAGAACAAGCGTGGAACGAAGCCACAGACCTGGAAGCCCAAACCCCAGCCAAGTCTTGATACTAACCCACAAGGAGAAAGAGGCTCTGTTCCCGTAGCTGTTACATGTGGAGCTGAATTGGACAGACTCAGGAGCCCCTCGCATTGGATGGTGGCCGAACCATCACTTTGTGCCAAACCCTGTGACATGTGCTTTATGGACCTTAAGTCATTTTAAAGCCACAAGATTGTTATGGGGGCAGTGGAATCATGCCTGTTTCGCAGATAAGGAAGCTGAGGCTCAGAAAAGCAAGCAATCGTTCCCAGAGTCTCCCAACAAATAAAGGACTAGGTCAAGGTCCCCCACCACTCTGGTCCAACTCTCAAGACCCTGCTTTCTCTACCGTGACACATTATATGCCCTGATACGTCAACTGTGCATTTGTGAGGGGGTCTAGCTAATAACTGTGACAGCGACTGGAGAACAGACTTTAGCTTACACGGAATGCTGGTGGTGGCTGAATATGCACCCAGGTGTGTCTAGTTACCCATGACAGAGCTAACACACATGCCACTCGTCCCGAGAGCTGCCCCGCCCTCACCTGGAAAGGGTTCCTTGAGGAAGTGGCCATTGATGGTCTGGTTGGCCGTGCCCAGCGGGTTTTTGGCAATGAGGGTGTAGTTGCCATTGTTGTAGTGGGTGGGCTTGTTGAAGAGCAGGCAGCCCTCGGACACCTCGCCCTCCTGGTAGTACTCCACGTGGATGATCTTGGACTCGCGCAGCGGCTGCCCATTGTGCAGCCAGTGCAGGGTCGGCGGCGGGTTGCCGCGCACCACGAACTCGATGCAGTGCTCCAGGCGCAGCTCGGGCTCCTCCAGGCTCACCACGCGCGGGGGGTCTGCGGGGAGAGGCCAGCTGAAGCCCAGGACGCAGAGGAACAGGGTGGGAGCCCCAGTTCTTCCCCACCCAGCTCCAAAAAGGGAGGAAATCAGAGGTCCCCCCCCCAGCACTCCTGAAAAGAGAACAAGAGATGACTGTGTTCACCCACCCAGGCTTCCTGCCCACAACTGGAGTGTTCCCACTCCCAACCTCCTAGGGCTTGAACTCAAGGCAGATGTGGGCCGACTCAGGAGCGTCCTGGGGGCACAGTCAGAGGCACCCCATCTTCTCAGGGACAGGGTACCCTTTCTGGGGTGACTGGCCAAGGACTGACCTGTGTGGCCCTGCCCTACAAGAGTCCTTCCGCCCTTCAGGGTAGATCGGACCCACCGCCGGCCCAGCCCCGCCATGGCCTCCCGCACGGGCATCCCCTCAGTGCAGAGCCACCCGCCGCAATGCACCACGCACAGTGGACGGCGAGGGCGACGCTGGCATTGCTCATGCCCACCACGTTCTCCGCGATGCACGTCAGGGTGAAGCCATTGTCCTCACTCGTCACGTTCACCAGCGTCAGGTTGATGGCATGTACATTGGTCCAGTTCAGATTTGTCTAAGGCCCCAATAAAAAGACAACAATCAAACAGTCTCTACAAGGGCTGCTCCCCAACCTAACTCCCAACCACCTTTAGGAATCAAAAGGAAAGCTGGGCAGAGGGTAAAGGAGACTGTGGGTAAATTCATGCTGACCAAGGGCCAGGCTCTCCAGGCCAGAGCCCAGGAATCCCAGGAATCCTAGGAATCCTCACATTCACCCTGTGACATGAAGGGTAGCATTATACCTACTACACAAAGGAGGAGACTAAGGCACAAGGAAGATTAGCAACAGGTTTAAGATCGAATTGGCTAGAAAACATTGCAGCTGGATAGAAGCCAAGTCTACATGTTTCTTCCTGCAAAGAAAGGGCCACAGACGTCCCCCGTCCATCTTCCTCATCCTCACAGCTCTTGCTTCTCTTAAGAATTAGCACATGAAGCCTGAGGAGTGATGGCTCCCCAGCCTCCCGATGGGGCCCAGCCTGGGACGCCTACCTGGTGGGTGTTGATGGACTGCAGCCCGGTGACAATCCAGTCCACGTCGGGCAGCGGAGACCCAGAGCCATTGCAGGTGATGACAGCGTTGTCACCCTCCCGTACGGTCAGGTTGACGTGACTCACACTGATCTCAGGAAGGTCTGGGAGGGAGGACGCGGTGAGTGAAATATAGGCAACCTCACCAAAACTTTGTCCATGGGGTTGAGGCGGCACTTTTGCCTCCGCCAATAATGACTCTGACACAGGGTGCCTGAGCTCCTGGAAGGCCCCAAGCCCCGAGCTCCACACCCCCCCCACCCACCCAGTACATGTCAGAACTTAAGCCCGTGCAGCTGGACTCACCCGCCATGGCCTCCCGCACGGGCATCCCCTCAGTGCAGAGCCACCCGCCGCAATGCACCACGCACAGTGGACGGCGAGGGCGACGCTGGCATTGCTCATGCCCACCACGTTCTCCGCGATGCACGTCAGGGTGAAGCCATTGTCCTCACTCGTCACGTTCACCAGCGTCAGGTTGATGGCATGTACATTGGTCCAGTTCAGATTTGTCTAAGGCCCCAATAAAAAGACAACAATCAAACAGTCTCTACAAGGGCTGCTCCCCAACCTAACTCCCAACCACCTTTAGGAATCAAAAGGAAAGCTGGGCAGAGGGTAAAGGAGACTGTGGGTAAATTCATGCTGACCAAGGGCCAGGCTCTCCAGGCCAGAGCCCAGGAATCCCAGGAATCCTAGGAATCCTCACATTCACCCTGTGACATGAAGGGTAGCATTATACCTACTACACAAAGGAGGAGACTAAGGCACAAGGAAGATTAGCAACAGGTTTAAGATCGAATTGGCTAGAAAACATTGCAGCTGGATAGAAGCCAAGTCTACATGTTTCTTCCTGCAAAGAAAGGGCCACAGACGTCCCCCGTCCATCTTCCTCATCCTCACAGCTCTTGCTTCTCTTAAGAATTAGCACATGAAGCCTGAGGAGTGATGGCTCCCCAGCCTCCCGATGGGGCCCAGCCTGGGACGCCTACCTGGTGGGTGTTGATGGACTGCAGCCCGGTGACAATCCAGTCCACGTCGGGCAGCGGAGACCCAGAGCCATTGCAGGTGATGACAGCGTTGTCACCCTCCCGTACGGTCAGGTTGACGTGACTCACACTGATCTCAGGAAGGTCTGGGAGGGAGGACGCGGTGAGTGAAATATAGGCAACCTCACCAAAACTTTGTCCATGGGGTTGAGGCGGCACTTTTGCCTCCGCCAATAATGACTCTGACACAGGGTGCCTGAGCTCCTGGAAGGCCCCAAGCCCCGAGCTCCACACCCCCCCCACCCACCCAGTACATGTCAGAACTTAAGCCCGTGCAGCTGGACTCTCCTACACCAGGCAGTGAGTGGGGCAGCTGCTCCAGGAATGCAACTGTAGCAATGAAGCAAATGGCATATTCCACCTTGGGCGTGGTTCTCAAAGGGCTGGTCTGCTTCAGACTCCCACGGGGAGTTTGCTAAAAGCTCAGATTTCTAGGACCCATCCCCAGACACTTTGATCTTGTAAGTCTATGGCTGGGCCCAGGAATCTGCTTTTCTAAAAGAACCTCAGATGCTCCTGATAAGGAGATACACTCCCTCAGGTCTGGCTGATAAGTAACTCATGGAGGGAAAGGACTCTGGTCCCATGAGAAGGGCACACTTAGCCCCTTTCTGCATTCCTGACACCAACCTGCCCACGGCCGGCTCACAAAGAGACGGGCACGAGCCCCGGGTAAAAGGTGAGACAGATTTGCACCCAGTGCCGAGTTCAAGGCTGGGAAGGTGGAGGGGAAAGGAAGGCCCCTCATGTTCCAGGCTGACGTGGGGCACCATCCCTGTGTCTCAGGGGCACAGCCCTGGAGCCAGGGGGCTCACTCACCACACTGGCTGATGTTCATGCGGAACAGGGGGAGCTGGGAGCCGTCGGCACTGACGCAGTAGAGGTTCTGGCTGTTCAGCTTGGCCTCCCCCTGCTCCTGCCAGAGCTGCATCCAACGGATATCGCAGCTGCAGTTGAAGAAGTTCTGTTCCAACCGCCTGCGGGCAGGAAGAGAGGGAGAGAGAACTCCTGAGCCCACAGGTGCCCAGCTCCCTCCAGGACCATGAGGTCAGAGGCCCCCACCTACTCTCCTGGGATTGAGGAGAGAATGGGGTTAGCAAGGTCTCAAAAAAAAAAAAAGGTAAAAAATACTTTAAGGTCCATGATTATTACTTCGTTTTTAAACTAATAAATGCATTTGAAAAAAAGAAATCCACTCAAGTCATGTGGCAGAGACCCTTTTAAATACTATGGCTTGGGGTGCTCCTCTTCGAGGGGCGTCCCATTGCGTTGAAAGTCAAAGGACTACAGGATCAGCATGCCTCGCCATCACCTCTTGACCTCATTTCCTCCCACACCCTCCTCCCCTCTTCTTCAGCCACACTGACTTTGCTATCTGTCAAGCTCATTAACATGACCAGCCTGTGCTGCCCCAGGGCCTTTGCACCTGTCCTTTCTGCCTGCAGAGTTCTTCTCCTGGCCTGCCTGCTAGACTGGCTACCTCACTGCATTAAGGAAACATACGGCCTTCTCTAAGTGCCCCTATAAGAAAGCCAGCACCCGCCCCTGCCCCAGCATTGCCCAGTCCCTTCCCCTGCTACTGTCTTTTTTCTGGTATTTGTCACTTCCCAGCATCACTTCAAAAATCTATTTGCTTGTTTGTTTATTATCTGTCTCCCCAAATAAAAATTAAGCTCCACTGGGGTCAGAGACATTGCCTGTTTGATTCATTGCTACATCCCAACACCTATAATTGAGCCGGGCATGTAAATACCTGTTGAATGAATAAAATTAAGGAAGGAAGGAGAGAAGTGGGAAGAGTTATTCTCCCTGAGGAGTAAGTAGGTGGTTAGCTATTCCCCATATCCTCTCATAGCCCACACGGACACCAGCTTTAGTCCTTCATAAATTCAACAAAATTCCTCATTAGCACCTGTTCTATGTCCAGCTGCGGGCTGAGTGCCGTTAGTGCAGAGATGAGTAAGACAGTCCCTGCTCTCCAGGAGCCCTCGGCTCGGTGAAGAAGAGCGTCTCATGGGGAAGCGTCAGGTCCCCTGAGTCCCCTGGTGATGCAGAGCCAGTCACCTCCCCTCCTGGTGGGGCTGTCTCATCAGAAGGACAAAGAAGAGCCTTAGCTGATGTGAAACTCGTAAAGTAAAGGGCACCTGATACATCCAAATGCCTGGATCTTTAGGGGGACCATGATTCTCTTTCTGGACCAGTGCGATGAACCTGGTGGTGTCTAGAGGAGGGGAGACTGGGGCAACAGCACTAAAACCCTAGATATTTTTGACAACCGGAAAATCCCAAAGTACTTACACATGCGTCAGACTTAATCAGCTTTCAGGAAAGAGCAAGGCCCCTGGGAGGAGGAATCAGGGTTTTCTAGCCAACAGGACGCCACAGGTAGAACGGGCAGACACCGCTGCATAATATCCTCTTAGTCCACACGTTGCCGTGACCCCTCTCTGTGAACCACACTCTCGCAGAAAAGAAAGGAACTAACCATTATGGGGAATCATGTTCCCCCTAAAGATGCAGGCATTTGGATTTATCAGGTGCCCTTTACTTTAAGAGTTTTACATCACATCAGCTAAGGTCCATCGTTGTCCTTCTAATGAAACAGCCCCTTTAGCTTCTCACAACTACCCTAGGAGACAGCCGGTAGTGTCCCACGGATTTGAGGCATCCCCCACTTATGTTTGGAAGGGTTAAGTCACATGGCTCATGGTCCCTCGGCTGGTGTGCGACAAAGCAGGATTTCAAACCTCAGCCCACTGGACCCCAAAACCCACATGCTTTATACCCCGTCTGTCATGTGCAAAAAATTGGGGGTGCAACGAGAGAAGCAAAGAGGAGTAAAGTGGGCAGGACCCCTGATTTCAGGGGCTCAAGGAGGCAGAGGCCAAGAGTTAGAGCAGGTGTTGTAGGCAGAGATGTGAACACAGGAACAGAGGTTGTACCAAGGAGCCCTGGGGAATAGAGCAGGAAAGGTGGATGTGGAGGACTTTCACTGACATGCAAGAAGTTAGCAATTCATCCAGGAGGCAATGGAGCCACCGAGGCCCTTGGAGCTGGGGGACCATGTGGCCAAAGCAGGGCTCCAACACCCCCACTCAGAATACACCAGACAGCAGGGGAGCCAGAGACCCAGGCGCCAGTCAGGATGCCTCATAAACACACGGGCACTCGCACCTAGTTGGGAAGTTGGTGCATGTCTCAGAGCACCCAGCCAAGGGGATGAATGGGAGATGAAGTCCAGTTGGCACACCCTTGATCAGACCCAGTGCCTGGCCCTGGGCTACATCCACCCGTGGGGTGTCTTTTCACACTCACACATGGGCACCACGGAGGCTGGCAGCTCCTGGCAAGGTTCTCCAACTTTCTGGTCTCAAGTACTTTTCACTCTTAAAATTTATGGACGGCCTCAAAGAGCTGTTGTTCATGCAGATCGTATCTATCACTATGTGCCATATTAGGAATGAAAAAACAGAGAAGTTTAAACTACAGCACCCATGTCATTAGTCCTCAGGGCAATGACATTATCACACAACACGGGGCCTCTGGAAAACTCCGCTGTACGCTTGTGGGAGAACGACGTGGGGTAGATGGCAAAGAGTGTCTGAGTGTTACTATGAAGATACATTTCATCTTCTGGTCCCCCCGAAAGGGTCTTGGGGACCCCAGGGAACCCTGGGCCACTATCTTCAAACCACCACCTTGGTGGTAAGGGCCAGGAGCAGACTGGTAAAGATCGGGCAGAGGGAAAGGGGAGATGGAAGGAGTATCATACAGGAAGACAAGGTGGTACCGGGGGGTTCCTTGCAGGAGAAGAAAAAGAAAGACTGGAAAACGATGCCAAGGGTTTAAGCTCCCAGAGATAGGAAAGTCAGTGGAAGAGAAAAGCATCTTAGTTGAAAATGGGAGAAGAAACCAGTGGACGGGAAGAGTTTGGAGGTCTTAGGAGCTGGGCTGGAGCAGGGCTGCAGGTGGGCAGGGAGAAGGGGTCCTAGAGGAAGACAGGGCAAGATGAGGTCCAGGAGCCTTGCAGGTGTTTGCCTTGGGGTTAAGGCAAGATGCCTCTGCAGAGAGAAGAAAAAAAATGCAACTAGGAAAAAATGAGAGAAAAGTAATACAAATCATAGAATAAGATTTGCATCACACTTACCACGAGCCCGGCAATCTGCTGAACACCTTACGTGGCTCACTCACCCCGCTGAACCCTCACGACAAGGAGGAAGTGTGGGGGAAGCGACTCCTTAGCAAAGGAGGTGTAAGAGCTGGCAGCCCAGACGTGGAGGAGCCAGCGGAGCCGGGTGCATTTGGATTCATACGGCAGGGCCTGGACGGGAGGCGCACAGCTTAGCTGGACTGAGGGGCCAGGTGCCTGACTACATGCAAACCCAAACAGACCAGCCTGGCTCCTCCCAGCTGCTCACTTGACAAAATGCGATCATTCACTGTTAAGTAGTTGCAAAAATACATCTTTTCCACCTGGACAGAAAAGACCAGACAAGTGAGGGGCTTGGTGGAGCTGCTTCAAGCCACACGCACCCTATTCAGTCCTGCCTCCCACCCGGGCCCCGGCCTGCTATCCATCCCAATGTCTCAGTGGCCCCACGCAAGCCAGATGGTGCTACCACATTCAAGCTGGTGGGAGAATTAGGGGAGATGTTTGGATGTGCCTGACGCTTCCAGGCGCAGGCATACTAACTCCTTTATGATTCATTCCATCTTTTTCCTTCAGGATCTGATCCAACAGAAGGAATGCACAGTGAGACCTGGACGCTCCTCCAACCAGAGTCTCCGGGAAACTGCAGAAGAACCTTGAGATTCCACCTCGTCCCTCAGGACATTGCCCTTAGAGGGCAAGATACACACAGGCAGGAAGCACTTTGAGGCTCAGAACAGTGGCTCCCAGGCACCTGACTGTGCAAAAGCCCCATCGTCCTCACGGCCTGACAAGAGGGTTCGAAGAGAGAGATGGGCCAGAAGCCATGGAGGGATGCCCTGGGTCTAAACATGCAGTTCTGTTTGCCCTCAGATCAGGGGTCTAGCAGAGGGCCCTCCAGCCAGGCCTTCAGGGGCAGGCTCAAGGCACCCAAGGCAGGGATCTCCCTGTTCCAACAATAACACAAACACGTGTGAGTAACACAGAGGCAGCTGCTTCAGGGCAAAGCTCACCACCACCCAGCCCCGGCCCCAAGGCAGCCTGGGGCTTGATCACAGGGCCCAGGGCCTTCCCACGGATTCATGTGGCCCATCCGGGCATGCGCACACAGTGGCTTTTGCTGTGTCTGAATGCTTAGCAAATGCTGATTCCCTCCAGCCATCCCTCTGATTTTCTTCTCCCTCCACAGCAGCAGCACTAACAGAGGCAACCCCGGGGCCAGGCAGTGGGCAATGGGGAAGGGACCCAGATCTGCTGTCACGGACAAAAGCGTGCCCACGTGGTCAGCCAGCCTCCTGGAGGCAACAGCAGTCAGACGGTAGGCAAAGCCCACACGCAAGAGCCAAGCCGCACCTGCTGGGTCACCTGGGGCCAGTACAGTGGGCTCAACTGTGTCCCCCCAAAAGGATACATCCAAGTCCCAGCCCCCAGTACCTGTGGACAGGGCCTTCTTTGGAAAGAGAACCTTTGCAGATGTCATCAAATTAAAGATCATGGATGACATCATTCCGGATTAGGGTGGGCCCTAAATCCAATGACTGGCATCCTTCTAAAAGCAATGGGAGAGATGAGATGCAGACAGGGTCAGCAGCGCTGTGAGGATGGACGCAGGGACAGAGGGACGCTGCCACCAGCCAAGGAACACAGGGGCCAGCAGAGCCGGAAAAGACAAGAAAGGAGTCCTCCCACCCCCACAGGGAACGGGGCCCTGCTGACGCCTTAACTTTGGCTTTCCAGCCTCCAGAACAGGGAGAGGATCATTCCACTGCAGGAAAGCCTTCAAATTTGTGGCATTTGTTAAGGCAGCTCTAAGAAACTAATACAGCAAGTAACTTAATTCTCCAAGGCCCTGTTTTAACTTCTGTGAGACGGGGGTAATGACACTCAAGCTTCCTTCTCATAAATCTCACAAAGTTATGAGGATTAGTGATAACACACGTTAATGTGCTCTGTGAAATAAAGGATGCTGTAAAGAAGCCAGAAATTATTATTGTTATAATACTATTATTCACATGAATGTCTCGTGACTTTAAGAGCCGTGGAAAGTGGTCATGGCCCAGACTGGGAGAAGAGAACGGCCAGAACCAGCCCAAACCCATCCCTGACCCTGAGTGAATAGTTTACCAAGTCGATTAAATCTGCAAATTATATCAGAGGTAATGATCACTTTGCTTTAAGAAAATGAAATACTCCAATCTGTTTTAATGGTGTCTGCTTCGCACATGCAGAGTATGAACAGAAGGCTGTTCAAGATATACTAATAGTCATTAGGGTATTTCTGGAAGGTTTCTGTGCTGTGTGATTATATCCTCTGGTGCTCCTTGCCTTTGCCTAAATTGTATCACAGGATTCAGACTCCAAGCTTCTTTTCTTTCTTGTTCATTCTTTATCTCTCAGATAATCTCTTTGAATCTTGCTCTGCTCTCCGACCACAGACAGTTCGGGTCTTCTCTGCAAGAAAACACCATCTTGCCATAACCAGAAACTTCCAAGAGCTGTCTGCAATGCCAGCTCGGGTTTCTTCAAACCAGTGCCACTGAAATAGTTCTGGCTACTTGAAAGCAAGTCTTGAATGATGCTTGCAGTTCCCTCAGTAAAAGAAACACAACCTGGACTTGTGACAGGCCAGGTGATCCGCCAAAACCATATCCTTCATCTCACAAAAGTAAATGAGAAATTAGTCCAGAAAGGCTCCGGCACATCACAAGGGCTCTGAGATGCTGGCTTGTCTGGGGTTTTTCCCCCATCATTCCTCTCAGGAGCCGTCATCTTGGGAATGGTTTCTGGAAGGAGACGCTAGACATGTGTAGGCTGCTAAGTTTTGTAAGGGAAGAGCCTCAGTTTTTGAAAGCAGACCTGTGTGGTGGTAATGCTAATAATCCTAATACTAATTCCCAGAGGGACCGTTTACAAGCTATGTGATCTTGGACCAGTTGTTTAACTTGGCCAAACCTCCACTCCCCTGTTTGTGAAACCAGTTATAAAGACACCTCCCTTGTGGGATTTGTTCCAAGGATGAGACCAGGCCTCGTTCATGTTAGGTGCTTAATACATGCCTCGTCCTCCTTCTCCTCTACACTGGAAAAGTCACAGACACTCTGCCCTGCCAGTGGGGAGCCCCATCCATACCTACATCCCAGATACTCTTGTGGGGAAGGGCTGGTTGGGGAAGGCAGAGACCCTCAGTGACAGAATGAAACGTGCTAAGAAATCACTGAATGCCCTTCTCCTTATGCAGCAGGTCACTCAAAGCCTCGCACTTGTGGCTTAGTGACTGGCCAGAATCACTGGCTGCCACGGTACACAGAGCATCTTCCTCTGGCCTCTTTCCTCCAGGGCCAAAATTCTTTCTTCCTGGAAACACACGACCCACCCCCACACCCCAGCCCACAGGCTCCACTGGGCAGACCCTGGCAGTCTGGATGGCTCGTGGCAGATGGCGCCATGTGGACTAATCAGGAAGTCGGACAAGAAAATACCACCCCCTCTTCCACTTGCCAGGAACCGCGGTTGTTTGGGTTTTAATCATAGCCACAGCTAAGAGCCAACACGCAGCCCCTCCAGCCAAAAGATAAATTTTCCACTCTCCACGTTCAATTCTTCCTCAAGAAATAGACCCCTACCAGGGCGATTGCTCTTTAGAGGAGAGCTGCTTTATTTTCCGATATAATTTTTTTCTTATTTAACAATGTGACAGAAATGCAATACCATGTGGACACGCGGCTCTCACACACTGGCTCGCACTGGGGCACGTCTTCGTTCCTCCATAAGTCACGTCCAGCTTGCCGCTGTATTGATCCCGGGCAAAGATGAATGCAAAGTCCCAAGATCCTCTGGGGGAAATCTGACATTTTCTTTAAATATATATCCACGGAACAACTGTTTCTAAAACTCCATGAAACAGGTCACCAGGGCAGCACACCATTGATTTCGCATCCAATGATTTTTTTTTTTTAGAAGGTACACTGAACGTTTTCTCAATAATTCAGCCAACTACAGGCCCCAGATGTCCCCCAGGAGAGACGGCCCTGGGACAGATGAAGGGCCAGGCATTCCAGAAGAACTAGCTGCAAGACTCCCAAGAACAAGAGCCCCCAATAAGCTCCTCTGTGGCAGGACTCCCCATCAGTTCTAGGGCAGCAGAAGGAACTGCCATCATGTACTTTTTGAAAATCACTGTAGAACTGATCCTTGGATTGGAAACAGGTTGAAAAGCTGGGAGATGGCTAAGCGCAGTGGTCAAGACCATGAGTCCATATGCTACCACTTATTTAGTGGATGACTATAAACAAGATACTTGACCTTGCTAAGTACCTTGGTGTCCCCAAATGTCAAGGAATTATAAAATTCCTCATAAAATCAGTATAAGGATCAAATTAAATAATGTACACAATTCAACAGGATGCTTGCCACAGGCCTGGTACCAAGTAAGACCTCAGAAATCGGTGCTAGCCGTGATGGGAACAGTCACGTTGATTTACCTCTAAGGCCTTTTTCACCTACAAAGATGGGAATGAATACGGCCACAGTCTGACATTCAGATGTCTGTGACACACTCTAGTTTGTCAGTGATGTATAAGCAAAAAAGTCCATTTATGTTACCTTTCTCTAAGCTCTGGCAGGAGTTTCTATTGGTGTACATCTGGATCTCAGGAATATGTGAGCAAAGATCTCTAATTGCTGTGTCTATTGTGCCCTTACCAGAGGGGTAGTCTACTAGGAGGGGCAAAATCCTAAGAAAGGAAAGCAACCCATAGCAGTATTGTCCTAAACTCTCCAACACCAGTAAAGACAAGTTCTGTACTTCCCGTATTCCTGGAATGGTCTTTTGAAGCATCATACGGGCACTGAGGTCCACAAGTGTAAGTAGGGTCCAAGGCCATCTCAGAGGGATAGGCTACTGGGGTGCTGGACGTAAATAAACACTGACCAGCTGGGTCAGAAAAGTTATGGCTACGGCTGCTCATCTGGACACTCTGATCTTCCCAGGATGAGAGAGAACAATCTGGAAGAGCCACTGCTTCCTGGTAAAGACAGTGAGCATTCTGCATTCAGTGACCTTGGCTCTGAGTGTCCAAGTAAAAGGGAACGCATGAGCAGTGTCTCTGGAGCCCTGACTCCCTAACTACCCACGCCTCAATGCCTTTTCAGTTTATTCCTTGATTGGTTCTCTTAACATGACATGCTGTCCTTTGTATGCAGAGATGCCCCCGATGACTCACACATCAACAGGAGTTATTTTTTCCAGCTGTGGACATGAATTTTCACTTTTCCATCCAACACTTGTTTGCACAAAATGGCTGGCTGGGGTAGGGGTGCAGTTAGCAGCCTCAGAATGCAGCAAGACTAGGCAGGTCACAGGACTGACTAAATGTGACGGCCTTGCTCACCCCACCCCACCAGGATGCCAACATTCGAGCCAAACAGACTCAGGAGATCGTGAGTGATCTCATGAAAAGGACACGCACTCTGAAGTCAGAGGCCTGGGTTCTAGTCCTGGCTCTGCCAATCCCCAACAGTTGGTCTATGTCTTACATGTCATTTGAGGGCTCAGAACCCTCACCTTAAAACATGGGAATATATTTTATATGTGAGGTATTGTAATAACACCTACCTGCCATGATGCTTCTGATGATAAACCTAAGGTCATGTAAATGAAAGCATACCTGATAACCTACTAAGTCATATATTACGAGTGTTACTTATTATAAACTGATACTCTTTACTATTATAATATCAATACTATTATCAATAATTACCTACAGATCACAAAACTAAGTTCTGCTCAGAGAGAGTCTTCTGAAATTTACCGTGACTGGAAAGAGCATAAGAAATCAAGTGACAGGGTGGCTCGCTCTCACTGAACATGGTACACCTTACGTCATCCAAGCCCAGAAGCCCCTTCAAGTGCACGCCCAGCCTCAGGCAGCTCTGTTGCCTGACACTTCTCCCCGCCCAACCTCTACCACCGATCTACTACTCGGTGGGTCTTCCAAACCAAACTTACAATTCCCGTAGACTCAGTGTCTGGAAGAGCTGCCACGAGAGAGTGGTGAGCCGGTTACTCGACAGATTTCTGAAAGAGTGACAAACAAAGGGGAAATTAAGGACAGATCTGGCATAAGTGACACTCTTGGTGGTGAACTTGGATATTTCATGTGATCCTGGTCTTCTCCTTTGTCCCATTCTGCTGACGTTACATGTACCAATGGTCAAGGCCACCGATCAGGTCTGGAGGGGATCCTGAAGCCTTTTAAAGGGCAATGTTTTACAAATTTTAAACAAACACAAAATTTCCCCATTCATTTTTCCCATATCGTCTGACCACGGTAAAAGCTAAGAGAGCCTTTTGGAAGCCTGCCTCCTGACAGAACAGACTGCTCAGGGTACACAAGCCAACGGGTATTCTTTTCTATGATTGTTACTCAGGTATAACTGACATGCAAAAAAGCCATCCATGTTTAATGTGTCCATCTTGATGAGCTTCAAACACACAGTGTGAAACCACCACCACAAACAAGGCCATAAGCACGACCACCCTCTCTATAAGTTTTTTTCTTCTCCCCCTTTTCCCTTCCTGTGATAAGAACATTTAACAGAAGGTCTGCCTGCTTAACAAATTTGTTATACAATTTGTATACAATACAGTACTGTTAACTGTGCACTACAGTGTACTGTAGATCTCCAGGAGTTATTCATCTTGCAGAAGTGAAACGGTGAACCCTTTTGCCAAAAAGCATTCTTAATACTCACATGAGCAGGAAGAACCCTGCAGGTCACCTACAATTTCTTCTCGCCAGTCCCACCCCCAGCAAACAGGCCCATCAATGATCAAGACATCAGCCTTTTGTTCACACTTCTGTTCTGCTCCTAATGGTTATTTAATTGTTCTCATTAGGATGTGCAGGGAGAAGGAGCAGCCATTAGTCTTCCAAAGAAAGGAAAAAACACGCCCATGGTTATTACTTTGCCAGGCTCAACAGACAACTTTTGATGTGTTAACAGCCCTTAAAGGCAGCAGTGAGACACTGCCAGAACTCAAGGAGCACCTGGGAACGACCTACTCACTCTCGGATGAAAACGGAGAATGGCAAGGATCCCACTTAGGTAAATATCCATCCAAACATGTGTATTTGCGTCTATTAAACACATAGGTTAAAAATGCAAACACAGACTCCGATTTATACACACACGCATATGCTTACACGGGCACGTATATTTAGACAACTTCTACAGCCAAATATTTCTTGGGAGCCATAAATACCCTGCACTGCAGAATGGGGGCTGGACAACTGGTAAGGCCCCTCTGAAACTTATATCCAAGTTTCCAACAAAGAAGCACGAGAATTGCAGTTCGCTGTAAGTCAACGGAGGGGTAGGATGGGTGGGTGTGAGGGAGGGCGAGGGCACACCACACAGGGGCTCAGAGGAGCACCTTGGAGAAGGTAACACCAGAGCTGAGACGAGAGCAGTGAGGAGGTGGTGAGTGCCGGGGGAGGGCTGTTCCAGGAGGCGGACCAGCAGGTGCAAAGGCCTGAGGAACCAGGATGCCAGAAGGGACGCCGGTGAGGAAGGCAGCGGGGGCGAGTGGTCTGGTAAATAGGGAGACCCCACACCCACCTCGCTGGCCATGGCAAGGAGTTTGGGCTTTATTTTAAGGAGCAATAGGAAAGCATCAGATGGTTTTAGGTAGGGAAGTGGTATAACCTAATGACCATTGTTTACAGTAAGAGGCTAAGACAGAAGCCAGCCGGCCAATTAGGAGGCTGCTGTAGTTTTCCCGATGAGAAGACGGGATAGAGATAACTGAGCAGATGGGTTCAAGCGAGGAGCTGTAGGTCGTGCAGCCAGAACCTCCTACTGGACTGGATCTGGGAGAGGAGGGACGAGAAGGGCTGCAGAAGAATCACCCGTGGGAGGGGATCAAGACCCTCTCCTGGCAGATACTGAGTTTGACATCCAGAGAGAAATCAACTTGCCTGTTGCCTGCCTGGGTCTGGAGTTCATGGGAGTTCAGGCCAGGTGAGATCACACAGGGTGTGCACAGCTCATCACAGGAGCATATATTCAAATGCAATGATGACCTAAGGGACAGGGCTTCCCCCTCTCACTGAAGCAGCCCTATCTTTGGTGGCAGCCCATGATGGTGCTGGAGAGGCAGCCCCACTCTGAGGGGAAGGGGATGGTTGGAGAAAGGAAGGAAACCACAAGCAGGTGGCCCCAAGTTGACCGTTCCTTCTCCCCTGCAGCCAGCACTGCCTTCAGAGTCCCTAAGCCCCGTGCCCCTAGCTCAGCGCTCCCAGCAGGGTTCCAGAGTGCTGGCTGAGTGACAGCACAAGCTCCTCTAAAAGCTTGGAGACCTGAGCCAACCCACAGCCTCAGCTTCACAGACCCCTAACCATGGTCTGTCTTATCCTACACACTTCCTGCATTACCCAGTGACCAGACGGAACAGCGTGATAACAGAACCGCAGCACGACCACTTAAGGACCCGCTGGGGGCACAGCTCCTGCTTCCGGGATGCAGGAGCCAATCAGGCACATATGCCCAACAAGTCGCTGGCTTTACACCAGGTATTGCACGGGGAGCTCAGAACTTAGGGGCGAGGACAACAGGTTTCAGGACCACTCTACAGGTCTCCACCACCATTAGCCTCTATGATGCTTCAGTGAATGTGAGTGACTCATCCAGGTGGAACTCTTCTGCTTTGCGTTGCTTCTCCTGGTTTACATCTTTGCACAAGAGCATCCGTGGCAGAACGAGTGAGCAAGGCCCTGCCCACCTTGAGGTTTTCACCCCATCCCAGCACGGCCTTGAACAGAACCCCAGCTTCTGAAGCCGAGCAGCAGTATGCTGTGAGTCAGCGGCCAGCAGCCCCGGATGTACTGAGTGCTGGGGAAGAGAGAAGCCAAAGCAACTGGCAGGAAGGAGGCGGCCAACGACAGGGGTAATCCAGGTGAGGTGCGGCCCTTCCCGTCTCGGGGGAGGAGCACCCGGGAGGGTTCTGGGGGTGTCTAAGGCTAGGGCTGCCAGCCACCTTCACAAAGGTTATACTTTGCTACACTAGGCAGAAGAGTCACGAGAAAACTGGATTCTGAGACAAAGAAAATGACAGCAATCTGGCAAATAAAGAATAAGAAATAGCACACCTCCTTATTCCATGTTAGAGGGCAGAAGGGCGGGGCACCCGTGGTAGCTCCCCTCCTGGCTGGAGCCCCACCTGGAGGAGAGAGGACGCCTCACGCCCTCCAGGTGGACCCGATGAAGGAGCCGCAACCACCCCCGCCCTCCTCCCAGGCCCGCCCAGGGCAGGCTGCCCTCTCCTCCTATTGGAGGGAAAGCAGTCCTTACACCTTCTGTGGTCCAGCTGCCCTCCTGCCTCTCTGCGGCCACGGTCAGCACCTGCCATTCACCACGGGCTCACTAAGCACGAGGGACTGCGCTGAGCATTTGGCATTCATGATCCTCATTAATATCTACAACAACCACTCAAGGCATTGCTATCATCTCCACGCTGCAGATGAGGAGACTGGGGCTTAGAAGATGCTGTCCAAAGTTCAACAGCTCTGAGGGGCCTCACTGCAAAGATTAAGGCCATGGGCAAAAAGCAGCAAACCCAGGAACATTTGCAACCAACACAGAGACATGTAAACTCCCAGTACACACACACATACATGTATGGTCCCAGAGACCCAAGGAGTGCAGTGCACACAACCTGTACAACCACACAGAATGTCCTTCCAGAAACACGACAGAAGATGCCAGCCCCAGAGACAAAAACACACATAAGGCAAACATATATCTACCACAAGACAGGCTGGGCACTCCTCTGGCCACTTGCTCTCACGGGCATTTATAAATGCTCAAGGTGCAGAGCAAATGGGGAAGCTGAGGCACAGAGCTTTAAGAGACTTACCACTCACTCAGAACTCGCTGTCCTTATTCTCCTGCAAGCCAGTGCCTCACCTGCATTCACCTGTCAGCGGTTATTGATGGGCTAGTCATCAGACAGTTATTTCATTAAGACCCATCCTGCCTCTGGGCCCCAGGGCAGCCTCTTCCCAGAGCTTCCTCCCTAACAGATCCATTACCACCCTATGTGGCTTTTGCTTGGGTCAATGGCCAGTTGCCAAGTCACCTGACCACTGGAATTAATTTGGTGAGCAAGAGTTTACGAGATGATGCATTAAACCGTTTCCCAAAATCAAGCTCTGTGACACTGCCCCCAGATCCCTCATCTGAGACTATGAGACAAAGCCATTACATTTCGTCCTGCTCTCCCGGCTCTCTGAGGCCAGCCTCTGGGGCCCAGAGTAATGGACGATGCTGAGGCAGCCGCTGGGCGCTCTGGGAACAGGGTGCCAGACACACAGCTGGCTAACCGCTGACCCTCAGGAGGAACAGGGCTGAGACGGCCCCGCCCCTGCATGAGCTCCCCGGGGAGAGGGGTCCTCCAAGGCAAAAGCCTCAGGACAGTAGGCAGCCCCGTGACCTTCCTAAAGGGGGCACACCACCGCAGCGAGCTGGAGCCCGCGATTGTGCAGGAAGCCGTCCTCTACCCTGGGAGCCCTACCGTCCAAAGGGTAGCTCAAGGGGGGCCCCGTTGCCAAGAGAAGCCAACAGATGGATTCTTCTGTCGCTCCAAACAAACCAGGTCCTTCGGGGCCGAGAGCTGAGAAACGGACACTAAGCCCCGCCCACAAAGTGATCCAGGAGACGGGAGATCTGGAAGATTTCCTGGCTTAAGGGTGCAGCTGACATCTGGAAGTGCATCCTCTTCTCCTGGCAGAGGTAGGCACTGTGGGCAGGTCAAGTCTTAGGACTCAAGCGTGTAAGAGATTGTTGGTGGCAGGTGGCCCACCATCCCCGTGCTAATAAGCCGGACTTCTCACGCCTGCACCAGTCAGCCCAGCGTCCCCACCTCAACATCATCGACCCTCTGTTGGGTCAGCCCTGCTCCCACGTCAGCTCCTGGACGCTCACGCTTCCTCTGCATCTCTCCTCAGTCCCTCTCTTTTCAGTTTTATCCTGTGTTGTCATGGGCTGAACTGTGTCCCCACAAAATTCTTATGTTGG